GGGTTTAGGGTCTAGGGTTTAGGGTCTAGGGTTTAGGGTCTAGGGTTTAGGGTTTAGGGTTTAGGGGTTTCGGGTTCAGAGTTTACAGGGTTTAGGGTTTAGGTTTCAGAGTCTAGAGTATGCAGGGTCTAGGGTTTAGGATTTAGGGTTTAGGGCAGGGTTACAAGTTTCTGAAGCTATGAACTCCCCCATAAAAAAAGCAAGCACTCCCTTTTACGCTGTTCCCGGTCCACATGACTTCACACCAGCCCAGGGAGCAGCATGATGTGGCTGGAATCACACCATTCTTCATCGAACGGTAAACGCACATGGTCAAGATCCGGCTTGTGGGCTAGAGTAGTACACAAGCCTCCACCAAGGGGCGAATTCTAAGCCACCAGTACCAGAATTAGGGCAGGAGTCGGTGCTGGCGGGCTCTTAACCGAGAGCCCAGCGCGTGCGAAAATGACACCTCAACCCTAACCCCTAAACCCTAAACCCTCAACCTAAAACCCTAAACCCTCAACCTAAAACCTTCCAGCCCTAAACCCTCAACCGTGAACCCTAAACCCTAGCCCCTAACCCCTAAAGCCCCTAAACTCCCCAAGATTCGGGCAGGGCTGCGTCGGCATGGAGGAGCCGGCTCAGGGAACCGTTGAGGTCCCCCTACTGCCATGGCAGGACTGAGGGCCTTTTTAGGGGGCTTAGGGTAAGTTTAGGCCCTAAACCCTAAACCCTAAACCCTAAACCCTAAACCCTAAACCGTTTAAGAGGGAGAGCCCTAAGGGGGTTAAGGGTTTAGGGTCTAGGTCTTCGGGTTTAGGGTTTTAGGGCTTAGGGTATTGGGCTTAGGGTTTTAGGGTTTTCGAGTTTTAGGGTTTTAGGGTTTTAGAATTTCAGGGTTTTAGAGCTTTAGGGTTTTAGGGTTTAGGGTTTAGTGTTTGGTTTTAGGGTTTCAGGATTTTAGGGTTTAGGGTTTAAAGGGGTTTGGAACTTAATTTAGGGTTTAGAGTTTTAGGGTTTAGGGTTGCGGGTAAGACCCAAGATATTACAAAGATCCAGCTTCACCTGACCATTTCACCTACAATCCTCAACCCCTAAACCCTAAACCCTAAAGTGCTAAGCCCTAAACCCTAAAAAGCCGAGACTTTAAAGCTTTTGAAGCCAAAGCTCCGAATCCGACCGCCTAAACCCTCCGAATTTTCGGTGTAGAAAGAAGTTGATCGGGTTGGGTGTTTAATGTAGTGGCCTAGATAATTACCTGTACCATTTTGGGAGGTTCTTTAGTGTGATTTTACTATAACAGAGCCCAAAGCCCTATTCTAATTATGATCAGCTGTGCTGACAGCGATACGCGGCTTCCTGACGAACCCTTAACCCTAAACCCTAAACCCTAAACCCTAAACCCTAAACCCTAAACCCTAAACCATAAATCCTAAGGCTCAGATGTTTTGTAAAGTCGGACTGCTACTGGATGCTGGGGTTGAGTTTGGGCTTGAAGAAGCTAGCTTCTTGTGAACCAAGTTCGGTGGTTTAGGGTTTAGGGTTTAGGATTTATGATTTTACCCTAAACCCTGAAGTCCTAAACCCTTAAACCTGAAACAACCTAAAGCCTAGTCCTGGACCCTTAACCCCCAATCCTAAACCGCCTTAAACCTCGTAGGCTCTTCTTAGGTCCCCAATCCTGGCTAAACCCTAAACCCTAAACCCTAACCCCAATTGTCAAAGGACGCACAAGGACGCGATGTGGGCTGCCTGGCCTGCGCCGAGGAAACCTCAATCTAGGACATTTTCAAGTGGGTAGTTACCGTCATAGGAGTCTTATAGAAGGTCTATATACCTTATGGAGGCCTTCTAGAAGCCCTGAACCCTAAACCCTAAACTCCCCACCTGTAGTTCGCTTTAGCTGATGCAGAAGCCTACAATATCTTCAATGCTACTCAGGATCGAGTTCCGAGTCTGCGTAGGGTTTAGGGTTTAGGGTTTAGGGTATGGGGTTTAGGGTTTGGGGTTTAGGGTTTAGGGATTTAGGTTGCAGGTTTTTTCGGCGTGGGAGATGTAGGCTGTTCAGAGCTTTGATGTTCCGGCTTTGCCGGTGCGGTGTTGGGTCATTGCCGCCGGGATTCGCTAGCTATCGCCACGGGTGCATATGCCCAGATATTAGATACGTACTTATATAGGGACTACTTTCAGACCAGAGTATCTTCTAGTGACCCTTAGTAGAGGATGCGCTTGAGGGCTTGAGTGTAAACCTAGAGCCTTTAGCATTGATTCGCCCTTTGCACGAACTGGTTTATGGGTTATAGGGGTGTAGGGGTTTAGGGTTTATGGGTTTAGGGGTTGAAGGTTTAGGATTAGGGGTTTCGGGGTT